ATATGTGACCATAAGAATAGGATGCATTTTTATATATACATATATTATTGCTGCTCTCTTGTATGACTGCTAAAATTTTTTCTTATTTTTTTTCTCAGCGTAGTTTTTATGATATTTCCATGGAGATAAATGTGGCATCTGCTTAATCATTTTACCTATTGCAATATAGACTATTATACTGAATAAATACAAAACAATTTATCCATTCTCTTTATGAATATTTGCATGGGTTTTTTTCACTGTTTAGTATTATAAACAGTAATGCAGAGAACATTCTTGTGGCTTTCCCTTAGACTGCTTTCTTAAGTACCATTTGAAAGGAAAGAAAATATTCCCATGCAGATGTATACAGAGACTAATTTTACTGTCTAAATTCAGTGTCAAAATAATTCAGGAGTGAGTAGCAGAAGTAAAATCTATTGTGTATATTTGTATTTGAGAAGACATAGTATAAGACTAAAATCAATATAAGTTCTATATATATTATGATTTTAGTTGATATTATTAGAATCTATTATTACATCTTGAAACTTTACCTGTGAGTAAACTGATCATTACTAGTGAATTATTAATGATACTCCTTTCCAGAACCAGACTTGAATTTCTGCCTCTTAGAATTTTTTTTTTTTGTACCAGAGATTGGATCCAGGGGTGTTTATTTATGGAACCACATACCCAGTCCTTTATATGTTTTATTTTGAGATAGAGTCTTTCTTTGGCCCTTGCTAAGTTACTGCAGCTGGCTTTGAATTTGGGCTCTTCCTGCCTCAGCCTCTCAAGCTGCTAGTATTACCGGCATATGCTGTCATGCCCAGCTGCCTCTCAGGGTTTTTATCAGTTTGAAAGTGTTGGCCCCAGTCCAAGTATTGGATTGACAGGGATGTGCTTTTCATTATAGAAAAAAAAATCGAGAGCTAGGCATGTGGCTTGATGGTAGAGCACTAGCCTAGCAAATGCAAGACTCTAGATTTGCATACGCTACCCTCAAAAGCACCATACACACACACACACACACACACAAAAAAAAAAGAACAAGAAAACCATCTAAGACACTATGGGATAGAATTGGACAAAAGAATGATTTATGTATAGGAATTATATAATCTCTTTTTAAATGGCTTTATTAAAAAAGACCCTCATCATTATAATACATGTATGAAGATGTGAATTTGGTGTCAATATACCTTATATACAAACCAGAGATATGATAAATTGTGGTATAAAGGTGTATTAAGAATTGTAATGCAAAAAAAAAATAAGGAGCTCATATATAATGGCATAATTTGGCGTGAACATACTTTATATACAGTTACGAAAAATTGTGCTGTGAATGGATAATTATGATTGTAATGCATTCCACTATTGTCATGTATGTAAGAAATAAAAAAAAAAATCCGTGTGAGCAATGAAACTAAATGGTTTTTATGTAGAAACTTCCCTATTATCTTAATACTAGATCTGTTTTTAGCACCTCTAATCGTGAAAACACCAGTTGAGATTTGGAAGAAAATTACTGGCATCAGAGCGGGTAGATTAGGCTTGACTCTTCCTTTGACTATGAACTTTGTGGGGAAAAAAGTCACTTAACTATACAGTATTAGTTTCACTTTACTATAACAAAACATCTGAAAAAATTCACTTATAAAGGTCATTTTTTTGTCTATTTGTGTTTTGCATGATGACTGGGCCCCAATGCTTTGGGCCTGTGAGAAGGTGGTGCTTTCCCAGCAAGAGTGCATGGTGGTAAAAAGAACTGACATCATTCCAGGAAGAGAAAGAGGTCAGGGTCCCACCAGCCCTTTGAGGGCATGCCCCCAGTGACCTAAGGACCTCCTATACTGTTGGGCTGAAAATGGAATGGGAGCAACTAAACTAATCACCATAATCAAACTGTTTAATATATCTTTCCAAATACATATCCTTTTTATTTTATGTATAAATATTTATGATCTACCCTCTTAAAAATTTCAAGAATACAATAAAGTATTATTAATTATAATCAAGTTGTTATACATGAGAATACCAGAACTTATTCATCTTGCATTAAATTAGATGTCTTATTTTGTATTTAAAAAAAAAGACACTTGAAAGCCATTTATGGGAGCTGACTTCAGAAAACATCTTAGGGGCCTCCCAGATATGGTTAAGTCACTATTTAAAACTTATCGGTTGTTCCCATTTTCTAGTTTGAATCTCAGATTCCCCAGCATAGCAGAAGAGGCTCTTTGTGAATCCTGTCCCAGGACAACCATTCCAAGGATATTGTGAACTGCAGTACTGTAGGTACTGGGAACAGTACCTACAATTCTGACTCATGTCTCCGTACATTTGCTGATATTTTCCCCTTGGCCTCAAATGCTCCCAGAGCCCAAAAGCATTACCTTTGCTAGAAGCCCTTTGATACCCAAGTACTCAAGAAATTACCTGGCCTTTGCCTTGGACCACATATCCTTACTGGTTTGTGCCATACCCATGGTACATTTCCCTGCACTCAGTATTTTCTGAAATATCTGTCCTACCTTGTTAGATGGAGGAAATTTGGATACTACCTCCAACAACCTGAAGATGATTCCTGCTAATATGTAGACCAAAGTCTCTCTGCTATATTACCCACACAGCACCTGCACACTTGCACACACATGCAATGTGACCTGAATAAATTCATTCAGTAATCTGACCAGTTTCTCCTTTCAACCATGTCAAGGACACTTTCTATGCCAGTGATATACCTGTACACAATTTTTAATTGCTGCTAATAATTTTAATTTATGGATCACCCTAGGTTTGTTTTGGTTGCTGTTTATCAACAGTTAAAAAAAATTATGGTGGGTCTGACATCTTATTCCTCACATGCCATGAGTTTAAATTTGATTAGCTGAAGAATCCTGGTGTTATGGCTTAGATAGGAGGTGTCCCCAAAAACTCATGTGTGAGACAATGCAAGTAAGTGTAGAGGTGAAATGATCAGATTATGAGATGCTTAATCTAATCAGTGTGCTGATCTTCTGAAGGAGATTAACTGGGTGGTAACTGTAGGCGAGTAGAGTATGCCTAGAGGAGATGGGTCCATGAAGGTGTGCCTTTAGAGTTTACATTTTGTCATTGGCGAGGAGAGCTCACTCTCTCTCTCTCTCTCTCTCTCTCTCGCTCTCTCTCTCTCTCTCTCTCTCCTCTTTTTCCTGGTGGCCAATGTCCTGAGCCACCTTCTTCTACCATATTCTTCCACCATGATGTTCTGCCATACCTTGACCCCAGAGCAATAAAGCTGACTATCTATGGATGGAGCTCTCTGAAACTGTGAGCACCACATAAACCTTTCCCCTTCTAAAATTGTTCTGTCAAGTCTTTTGGTCCCCAGAGTGAAAAACCTGACTAAAACACATGGCCTGCTTTTATAACTCTCTTCAAAACTTTCCTTCATTTTCCTTTGGGTTGTATTTTGTTAAAATTCCTGTATATCAGAAAGTCTTCTGCCTAGTGATGCAATATTTTTAGTTAAACCCTCTCTCTCATGAGAATCATCTGTAGTTACATAGTCAGGATTTGATTTTTTAGGAACTAATACAGTAGAATTATGTATGTATTATATTTGAATATTTTAAATCTCACCTCCCTAATACAGGCTAAATTATCTGAATTTCACCCTTATTTTGTGGACATGAAATCCAAGATCATACATGGTAATTTTTAATGTGCATTTCTACTTTACCAACCATTTCTAATCTTGTTAGGTAGATATTGCTAGACTAGCTCATTGGGATACATCCTCTGTTCTCTGGAGTTAATGCAAGAACTGTTCAACTATGTTGTTTTGCTAATGAAACACCTGGTTTTGAAAAGTACACAAAGTCTCAACATTATTAAAGCAAATTTGTGTTTTTTATATGAATCAGGATTATATAATCTATTTGTCTGATATAACTAGGTAAATTAGTTAGAATCCATGGTTCTTGCTTTTCTTCCCTTTTTGTAGCCCCAGTCAGAGTCTTTGAGAATTCTTGGTACTTCATTTCATGCATTCACTAGTACATCTTCATACCATGCAGTATTAACCCAACACTCTTTTAGAAAACTTTGTTTCCATCACTATATTCTAACCTTGAATTCAGTGTCATCAAATCTCAAGGAAAATTGTGTTGTAATTGCTCATTGCCTTAGGATTGAATGTAACATATGTGTCATTTATCACTAAACACTTTAATTGTCAGTAGAGATCTGAGCAACCAGTTACTTCCCACTCCCTGTGCAATTACCTCATATCATTACGTGTCACCTCCTGCTGTTCTTCTTTCCCTACCACACCTACAGTGGTGGTTTTCAACCTGGATGGATTTTCCCATCAAGGAAATTTGGCGATGTCGAGGTCAAATTTTTATTATCATAATGGAAAAGGTGCTTCTTACATTTGAAAGAGAGCTCAGAGATGCTGCTAAACATCTTACAATGGAAAATATCCACCCACATCCAATAAAATTTTACCTGATTCAAAATGTCAGAATGCCAAAATGGAGGAGACTTGCTGTGTGGGAATTGACTTAATGCTTTTTAAATTGAACTTTTAGATTTCTCTCACCCCAGAAATGTTCAATTTAATGCATTCTCTTGATTTGGACTAGCTACTCAGTGACAAAACAAACTAACAAAACCCAGGAGATTATATCCCATGAAATTTCTCTTATTCCTTGGTTAAAGTGGGATAGTGACCATCATCTTCACCTTCAAAACATCTTCAAACCTGTTTTCCTTGTTGATAAAATACATTTTCTAACCAGTTGGCATTACCATAGTTACACAAAATAGGGAATGAAAACTAAAGCATACTTCCAAGTGAAGAATAAACCTGGAGGGATTAGTAAGCATGATTATCCTCAGATACTCTCAGCTCCAAAGGGCATTTATTGTTTGGAATGTTGCATCTGCAAATAGATTGAATAAACTCTGTGTGTAGCATAGTACTAACACTTTTGCATTTTTTCTCTTTCCTTTTTTTTCCTCGTCAGACATTTCACATTTTCAAGAACAAACTGATTTAAAAGGATTACTAGAAAACCTTCACCAAAATATCCAAGCCAAAAAAAGGAAGAATGTTGAAATTGTGTGGCTGGCTGCAACGGTAAGCACTGTCATGTCAGGTCCTACTCCCTGACACATCAGAGCCAGCAGACATGAGGAGGCATATACTGTGCCGGGTCCAAACTCTGGACTTTTAGTTACCAGCTGTTATGTGTCCCTGTCCAGGGGATGAAGCATTGTCACTCCTGTTGCTAGTTCTTTCAATAGACTAGAAAATAAGTAGAAAGAAAGTGCATTCACCAAGAGAAAATCTTACTCATTAGCTATTATTATCAACCCGAGAGATTAAAATGAAGCACTTGTGATTTTGTTGGTGTTACAGGTTGCAATGTTGATTATCCATATCAACGAAGATTTTTGAACTGGAACTCTAGAGACATATGGTTTCAACAGAATGTGGTTATCAGATCTCTGACTCACAGCTTTAGTAGGGCTCCTGGACATATTGCTCAGTTAATGAGCTTGTAAATGTGTTTGTTAATTTAGATATTGGCATTGAATTTATTATCATTGATTGCTCTTGGGGTAGTGAACTATATTCTGTATGGTTCTTTTTCACTTAATGGTTCCCTTCGGGTAGAACAGCCTATTTTCTCACTTCAGATTCCTACAACAGTTAGAGAAGGGATTGTGTCCACTTTTAAAAAACTTTTCTCTGGCAATTTTGAGGCATAATTCATATGAGATTTATGAATTTTGTTAAAACTTGAAACCTAGAGTTCCTGTGTTTAGGAAATGATCCTTCTATCAAGCAAGATGCACTGGAGATGTCCACGGGGGCCGCCATGTGTGTAGATGCTGCAGTGTTGCTCTTATAACCTGGAGTCCAGCCTAACCGAGCTTCTGGCACACTCTATTCTCCATCATTAGCGTTTACAAAGTCTTTTCCTCACTTCAAGTGCTTCAACTATGATCCAATATAACTCACTCCCTTTTGGAAAAAAGGAGTATATAATTTACCATGATATTATATAAAATAATTTACCAAGAGCAAGACAGAGGAAGCTGCTAGTTTGCTGCATGCCATCTTAAAGAGTCCCAGGCAAGACATTGAAGGTGACAGTATGAAATCCAGCTTTCAGGAAGCTCATTTAAACTGCTCCCTTAGCACCATGCTGCCTTATAGGAAGGCTGTCTGTAACAGCTTCCCCCATGTGGCTGCAGTTATCCAGACCACCATAGCTGTTAATTCTTCCAAAAATTTCACAATGGTAGGTCAAGAGTCATTGTTCCTATTTTACTAATAATGTGATAGCATTAAGGTACTCTCATCATTTGCCAAGGCCCTCTGGCTACTTAAGAACATAAATAAGACATTATACTTATATTGGGAAGTTATGTAAATAGATAAATTAAGGCTACACGTGTAAGTGTGAATGCATATTTTCTCTCAGTATATTCAGTTTTTGCATTTGAATATATAAAACATTTTCCTATAGATTCCACATGATTCTAAGGTTATTTTTCTTAAATGTAGATGCTAGTCAAATATGGCTTCTGTACAAAGTACAACTGAATGGCTGGTTAGTAGCATTTCTGTGGGTGGAAGCCCCAGTTCCAATATCTATTTGTAAATAAAACGAAGAAATATAGGAATATCTTCTGATATTTTTCAAAAAGCTTTTATTTCTCTCTTTCCTCTCTTCTTTAAATTTGTTTTATGAAACAGTCCTTGTATTACTGTTTTATATTCTAATTGAAAAATCTCAAACTATTCAATTTTGTCTTAATTTAAATAATAAAAATGAGAATTGAATGAAGTCAAATACTCATCAAGTGCACTAAATAAAACTTATATAGTTCAAGGGTTGTAGAAATACAGAAATCCAGACTTCCCTTTTCTACTCTGATGAGCTTGCTGCTATTTCCACTTTACTCTGAATTTAGAACACTAAATATCCTAACTAGGATAGGTATATAAAGAATATTAGTTCTCTTTTTAAATCATATCTCAAAAGTAGCCACGAAGGTCTATTTTATTACTGTGAATGAATGTACTTAGCTTTTAAAAGTGTGAACTACCATTTATTTGAAAGAATTAAAATTTTCTAAGTGAAAAAAGATTATATGGTGAAATCAAGCTCCCATATATCTCAAGTCTCTTTTCTTAGAAATAGAAAGTAGTGAAGGTCTAAATTAATAGGATCTATAAATCCTAGTTTAAGTATCACAATGACAATTAAATGATGGTAAAAGCCCTCAGTATAAATGGTATTATTTTCTTCTCAAAGCAGGCAACTTTTAAGGACCCCCTGACAACAGAGAATGAAGTAGGCCTTTATTATATCACATTGAATTAAATTTAAAGGGACATTGATTAGCATTGTTGATGCTGTGGTTAATGATTGGTATCTCATATCTAAAGCCCATTATGGGAGAGAAGGAAAGGAATGGAGTAATTTACCTATTAATGGTAAGGTAATGTGCTGCTTAGAGATTCTTCTCTGTTAGAATAACAACAACATCAACAACAAAGAATTATAGAGGGGATCAGAATATAACAGAAGTTAAAGACCTGATCCTTGGATTCAGGTAAACTATATTTGCATCTCAGATCAGCTCTCTTGTAGCCAAATTATTTATTTGCCTAAATCTCATTTTCTTCATCTGAAGATAAGAACAATTATACCTTCATGTGAAGTTTATTAAAAAAGCAAGTCTGTGAAATGTCATAATGTTATACAGGTACACAGCAGATGTGCACCAAATGGAAGCCACTTTTGATATTCTTAATGTTTCTAATTGGTTCTATCATCTCAGGCCATGAAGCTTTTTCAAACATCATGGCATAAAACCAGTCTAGCAAAGGTTTCTTAAATGTGTGAAGACTCTGATCAACTGTCAGATCCATGGAGTAAAGTGTTCTCCATTTTCAATGAGGTTGTTGCAGCTGGGCTGGGATTATCTTCATGCAGTAGCAGATCAGGTTCAGTGTTGGGTGCCATCACCTACTCTGTTGCATCTGTTACATCTCATTTGGTTTTAACAACTCTATACCTCACATGCAAAGAGCAAATAAGTTAAATCTGCTCCACTGGCTTTTGGAATGAAAAGCAATCATTTTGCCTTTCATAAGGCACACTGTACCCATTTCACTAATCAGTCTAAACCCAAAGTCACTGGTAATTGGTGAGCCCAGGCTGGCAGTGTTTAGAGGGGTCAATGCTAAGATAATGCACACATGAACAATAAACTCTTTTCACATGTGCCACAGATTTGTCGCAAGCTAAATGGTATTCGTTTCACCTGCTGCAAGAGTGCCAAAGACAGGACGTCAATGTCAGTGACGCTGGAGCAGTGCTCCATCTTGAGGGATGAGCACCAGCTGCACAAGGACTTCTTCATCCGTGCTCTGGACTGCATGAGAAGGTATCCCCCATGTTTTAAGGTCTTTTTTTTAATTTTAAGGTCATTTTAAGCTTTTGTTTGTTTGTTGAGTTTTTTATTTTTAAAACATTTATCTCATTAGAGAACGATGTTAAGTAACTCCCCTATATTCCCATGATTTTTAGCTCATGGCATGAGACCATTTTAAGTATTCCTCTTACTCATTTCAAGCAATAAAAAGAAATGTGGCCATGCCTGCAGTCCAACATATGCATGGGGACTGTTTCATTAGTTCATTGGCTCAGTATAAAGGGTTTTGAACATTTCATACATAACACTTTGAGGGGCCCATTTTCTTGATGTCTATGTGGCCATGAATATGCACAAAATAAAACTAACTCAATTTAAAAAATAAATAAATAAAACTTCCTGAATTGAGACTAGTAGGACATCTTCCCAATGCCTGCAAGGTCTTGCACCCAATGCCTGCAAGGTCTCTGAGTCAGTACCCTTCTTAAAGATCTGGAGTGGTTTTCACATCACTCATCCTAAATATGGAATAACACTGATGCTTTAAAGCACAGAATTAATATTGTTAGTCAGCCAGCATTTAAAATGCTATACCCCGAGTCATGTGTCTTGATTCATTTCCACAGTAATTAAATCTAAACTCTGAGCCATAATGCGAAGGCAAAAGTACCTCATTCACAGTGTCTATCATCGAGGACACAACGTTAATTTAAAAGTTAAGTAAAATCGTCCCTGCCACAAAGACCAGCTCAGAAGCTCTTTAGAAGACATGGGGCAGGCCCGTGCTCCCAGAGAGGAGTGTCCTGTAGCGCTGGACAGGCGGCTTCTTATCTGCATGCTCTTAGCCTCTCCGCTGCCCTCTGACTGCTGTGCCTTGCAGCAGGGACACAGATGCGTGCCTGTGCTCTTCTCTGCCTGTGTGTTTTCCCACTAATGAGAGAGTCCTCAAGTCCTCGAGTTTGCAGCATGGCATGTCTCCTAGCATTTTCATTGTTGTGTGGAGTTCCAGCATAACTTTCTGATAAATGTGTAATGATGTTTGAGAGGCCTGACATGAACATCTCAGCCATATAAAACATGCTAGAATTAAAAAAACTCCTTCAAAAATAATCTCTCAGCACTAACAGGGAAAATTCTATATCCTAGTATTAAATCTTCAGTACAAGGGAAGAATACAAATGTTACTGTGGATGGAACAAAGGTACTTGGCAGGGAGATGAAGAGCAGGTGATTAGGTAGGCCGGGGACACCATGGCACCAAAGGGATTTGACTAACAAATTATTTGGAGGGAGAAATCATTATCTGCTGACTTAAGCTGGAGAGAATAGAAGGAAAGGTCCTTACATTAGAAAGGAAGATAAAGGACATATCTAGCATGCACATAAAACTAAAAAAATTAAATATTTTGGTATTGTGTACTGCTATTTAGAATCAACTTTATTTATACAACACATTTGATCATGACATAACATTTTCGGAGGTATGTTTTTGAATTGTTAAGAAAAGGTAAGGTGCTAGAAATTTAATTTAAAATGACAAACACTCTTAAATTCCATATCCCCACTACTCTGGTAATATTATTTTTTTCTTTTTCTTCTTCTTTTTTTTGCTAAATTTCAAAGCTGACAAATTGACCTTTCAGTCTTGTATATTTAAGGGTTACCTAGAGTGTGAGAATCTGTGTGTGTGTGTATGTGTGTGTATTTCAAGAAAATAGAAAATGTTTGTTAATAACTGTCTACATTTCTCTCTTTGGGTATTCTCACTTAAAATACGTATTCATAGGTTAATAATCTCTGGCAACATAACAACCAGAGATTATTAACCTATGAGGTAGGTTGTTGTCTGAGACTTGGAGCTAGCTTACCTGAGTTTGAATACAGGCTATTGGCCACTTACTAACCAGTGAATAACATATCACCACTTAGTGCCTTAGCAACTTAATTGGCCTCTTAGTATCTCAGTTTCCTTATCTGTAAAGTAATCTTGATAACATGAACTGCTCTCTGAAAAGTGATGAGAACAATGTTTGACCCAGTAAATTAATATTTATTAATAAAAATAAATATCAAAGTTCATAATGTTAACATTCTCATCCTCCAAGGACAATACAATCTAGATAATTAGGAACTTTGTAGTTTTATACTTGTGAATACATTATGATATAGGTTTAACTCCAGTACCATATAATAGAGTGTTCTGGCAACACTTGTAAATAAGGTTTCAAATGCAGTGTTTCTTTTACTTGTCTAAGAAAAACAGATCTTTAAATAGCACTTTAAAATATGCTTGTGTTTGCAAATGCTGTGCAAATTATGGAAGGATTGCATTCATTAAGCCTGGGCAGGTTTTGTATAAATACTTTTTTATGTTAATGTGTGTTATTTTATGCTCTTACAAGTAATCATGGAATTTGAGCTCAAGGAGTCACCTTAGATGTTTTGTCTTATAAATGATGAAACTGAGTTCTAGAGTGTCTGGGCAGAGACTACTCAAGCCCAAAATATTTGAGCCAGCACTGGAACACAGGTCTCCTAGTTATAGATCAAGGTTACTTTCTTTGTACCAAATAAAATGAAATAGTATCACTTGAAATGATTTGATAATATATTTAACTACTGCAAACCTGTTAGTTAAAACAGAAGTCACATGTAAAACTTTTACTTATAAAAATTCAAGGCTGTGCAAAACCAAAGTGTTCTCCCCAAATCTTAAGACCTCGAAGAGCCAATTCTATAGCTCTAGGATAAAAACTCTATAATTTCAACCTTATCTATTATGTTCTCCATTATATATAGACACTGAGAACTGTATCTGGTCTAGAGCAAAATAAATATAAACAATAATTGAATGAATTAAGAAATGTCTACATAGGAATTTACTCTGCTGCTCTCTGCTTTTCAGAACCATTTTATAGGAACTTTCTCATTTTTAAAAAAATTATCTTTTTGATTATGTCCTGAGAGTGTGATTCAGTTCTTACTTTGATATTGGAGCCATGTTTCCCAGGGCCACCCCTGTATCAGGGTAGCTTGGTGAATGATTGGTCACAAGCTGAATTCAAACAGCTCAGTGCAGTAATGCTCCTACCCTCTGCTGGTGTTTCTGCTGGTGAGTTGGAAGTACACCGGATGTTCCGGAGTTCTCAAGCCTGCCTTGCCTTTTATTTGTGCTAAGCCCTGTTAGGTCATCCTGGCCCACCAGGAATATGTGGAAGCTTATCCAGGCCCTATGTGGCTCTTTTCTTTCCACAGTTTCCATATTGACTTTCTGGCTGGTCAGACTGGTCTAAGGAGTGGCACCATTAGAGCTTTAGTCTCAGGGTAGCTGTGAGATTGGCTGTTGGCAGTTTGCCTTCAGGAGCACTAATTCTCTGATAATGCAGGTGGGTGTCCCCGCCACCCCCGCCGCGGCTCTCCACTTGAAACCCAGTTAGGTTCCAAGAACAGTGAAATAGCTGGTTTCCACCATTGTCTGATAGAACTCGGAAGTGACCTACTTCCTACAACTAGTTCTGGCCTCCCCACAGTACATCCCGTCATGAATAGGTTAATCCACAATGAAGTCAGAGCCTTCATGATCCAGTCACTTTCGAGAGCCCCATCTCTGAACACAGCAGATCTCGGGAGACATTGAAAATCTGAAAGATAATGGTGGGCCTTCTTTAAACCGATTTTAATTTAAATTAGCCACCTATGTTAATTCCTTTATAACACTGGAAACCTGTCATTTCTGTCCTTTCCTTGAGTTTTAAAATGTAAGTGTATGGCCAAATGTTTTTCTTGATTAATTACAGCAAAACGTTGCAAAGTGGTGGGAAAAAAAATAATTGGCAAGGCACTTTTTTTGATCATTTTATGGTTTTTTAATTTTATTTGAAGAATAGTTGAATGCAGTATCAACACTCAGTTTTTAGCTATGACATCTCCTTTGATTGCTAAGAGGCTTCTTTCTGCAATGCTTTTTCAAAACAAAATTTTAGTACCATCTTTGATACTTATATTTGATAAATAGAAAATAAGAATTGGACTTATAAAAATACAACAAGTGTGGCTGGATTAAAAATCATCATGCCTTAGCCAAAATTAATTGTGTTGGGAAATGTAATTGTCACTCTAAAGTAAAATTTTTTAAAATGGCATTGCATGGGTCTTTCTTTTAACAGGAGCTCTGAGATTTTGCATTGATACAATGTAACATGTGACATCATATTGCTTAGTTGTCTGTATTTTATGTGTCTAATGCTACATTGCTCTGTCAACTTGTATTTCCTTATTACTCCTTAAGATGAAGATAATTGATCTGCCATTAGCAAGATGGATCAGGATAAGTTTCAGTACACAGCCTACTTATCACCTTTAAGATACAGGGTTCTAATTATTCTTTTTTAGTAAGTATTTACTTCAAAAGAAAGAGACTAATGACTCATCGGCCTTGTTAAATTCTATTATCTCATTGCATGTCATATTTGCAACATGTTGCACCTGAGATTTATATTGGAGGATAATAATTTATGAAATGCTTTGCTTCATAAGTAAGTGACACTTAACCAATTGATGCCAATAACATTGTGCTTATGATCGCTTATTCCCTTGCAGAGTTAGTTTTTTGAATAGTGTAGTTCACATTTGGCTGAAATAAAAAGCTTTTTTTTTTTTCATTCTTAGCCCTGTTTCCACTTTTAGCTTATTTTTCTTAACTTTTCTTGATTGCACTAGTTTGAGAAGAGTTTTATAAGAGTTCTCTCTTCTTTCAAATATAAAGAGAGTCATAAGCACAGCAGACACAGTAATTGAAGTTTGTAGCTATTTATCGACTCATACAAAGGGATGTATTGGTGGAGAATAGCACAACAAGGGACAGTTTTCCCACTGTTGCTATTACCTACTCCCTTGAGAATCTCATCGTGCTTGCTTCCTGCTTCAGACCTTATCTGTATGAAATAACAGGAATCATTCCAAATGGACTCACCTTCATCCTTGCTAATGATTATGCAAAACCTGACCCCACT